TTACGCCATATTAGCCGTAGGGTGTTCACCGAGTAATGGGACTGTAGGCTTAAGGTAGCTGCAAATGTTGTGTTGAATAGTTCGCAAATGTCTGCAGAGCGATTGTACGGCTTACTTTTGTCCATGAAAAGAGATATGCTATGATTTTCGCGATTCAAACGCTTTTTTAGGATTTCTGTAAGAGCATGTACCCTAGCAGGGCTGACTAGTGTGGTGTGTTCGTTTCTCATACGCGAATTCAGATCTGTCAGGCGGAAAGCGTTGTGATAATTGTCTGGATATTACGCAAATCAAAGCATTCAAGACCTGACGAGAGGCGTTGGCACTTCAGGTGTTAGCATCCAATGGTATCTTCTAGGTGTTCCTAGTTCCAGGTTTCATATTTAATTTTGTCATTGATATAGAACTAGTGGCAGCTACGTTTGACTTCAGTCTGATAGGGGCCTACTTGTTACGTAGAAACGAGCTCGATGTTCCACAGTTAGTTGTCTTCAGGTATACGTGATAGTAACAACTAAATTTAATATCACTCATTACTTTCCAGGGCTCTACCCAATGCTCAATCAAGAAACTGGCGAAAAAAGTGTAGCAGGCACACAGCGGTTGGGACGCTCGCCGACCATGCACATGTTTTGGGGTTCGACCAACAGCCGACGCACACCTTATATCAATCGTCGGCCTGTTAAATTTGGGCTTCCGATATCACATACTGAAAACTACATAGTTTTACGAAGGTACTGCATGGAATCAAGCTATGTGACCGGTACGTTCAACGTTTGCGTTACATTTAGCGTGATTCGCTATATATCTCGATTTCTGTTATGAGAATTGCACAAGTGTTTCTGCAGTTCCACAACTGTAACCAATATCTATTTCACTAATTGGTTATGGTTTATCCCTTGAACTGAGTCACCTGTTAACCTGATTACTGATAGCGCATATCTGCTTGCAACAACGAGCAACACAGCCCCCACAGAAAATGAAAGTTAGTCACACAGCTTGCCAATGCGCCGCAAGCCTGCAGCTGTCATGTCAGTACCACATATTGTGGCTGTAACTGACAGCAAAAGCACGCTGACAACTAATAGTGGCATCGCTTCTACAAACTCAGCACTCATTCCTGACATAGACCTCTTCACTACACCTTATGTAAGCGTCACGAAACTCCAAATACCAAGTTCAGCACTAACACCTACTTCAGAAACAGAACGTGTAAGCTGTCTGTAGAAGAGCAGAAAACTGAGACGCAAGTTACAGGTGTAGTAAGGCTATGGATGCAGGATTTTCAGAAAATCTGGCCAGAATATCTGAACTATCAACGCAGATTAGTGGCATAAAATCGCAGGTCTGTGAACTTACACCTCTGAACACCCTGACCAGAAGCATAATCCTGGCGAACTTGACGTAGAATCGGCAGCCACGATGGACATTTTAATAAACTTCGTCACAACAGAGGTCATCAAAAGACTAAATACAAAACTAAGTGTGGTAGTCTACAATATGCCGGATAATGAGGGGTTGAGAAACGTTCAAAGTATCTTAGGGCGGTGAAAATACCTAACTCCCAAACAAAGTACCACAGACTGAAAGTGTCAGCACGACCAATGCTACCCTAGATGCCTTCATTTCGAAACAGAGGCTAAAAAATTCATCAACTCACAATGTATCCTACTTCAGTATACGAGCCGCAGACGAAGTTGTTTCAGATAAGAGAGTGATTAAAAGGCGTGCTTGCAATCATATCACTAAACCTAATGGTAAGATGTGTACGACACTGCGAGCCACCGAAGTAGATAAACCCACAGCCAGCATAGTAGAACTTATAGTCTCCCCCTTTCAAATCTCACAAAAGTAGCTCTGCAGCACACGAAACCGGCCAAAAAGCTAGTGAATTATCATCCTTCTCCTAAATTAGCCCATCCACACTCCACCGTGGATCTAGGTGTGTTTCTGGATAGCCCTTAGGCAGAAATCAATACCTCCTGTAGGCCGACAACATCCTCCCCCAGCCATAACGTGAGAATTTGGTTGGAATTTAGTAACAAAACATACCGAAATGCACCACTCATAACGAAAAGTCCCGCATGTTTTCAAACTTCTAACAAGAATCCACGCTGTAAGTGAAATGAGACACAAAATGATATTGACAACCACACTGAAAGCAGAAATAGGGCCATACTCTGCACGGGCAGTAACGTCAGAACATACTCGCATACTATGCCAAGTCACACTAATAGCAACACCATCACGCAACATGGTACAAACAACAATACTCAGAGCTCAGCTACCAACCACTCAGGATCTTCAATGTATGACACACAAACTTTGACAGAATATATGGAACAAGTCTCCTGGGAATCAAACCACAGTGCAGCAATTCATATAATGAAATCCATGTAAGGACACTAAGAGTGTCTCCAAATATTAGGCAGATTAATAAGTCATGGGCATTGCAAGATACCGATGATTTTTTATCCTGTCAGCGCTGACCAAACCGGTGGGGATGTCAACTCTTCTGGACCCATACCACAAATATCGGCTCCCTATCGTGAAGAAAACAGACACAGTCTAGTGCACATGGAATTATTAATCACATCTAATGTATAAAACTCATTATTCACTAAAAGAAGTAGTTAGTAACACGAAAGACATAGGTGAACATGGTACTGAGACTAATTGTAACACACAGCTAAGACACTTGGAACCATTGGCCCCAGAACTACACTTGAACCTGGTTAACGAGCTTAAATACCTCAACTCTTAACTTTACCTAATCCTTAATAATGCTAGATCTATCCCAAACAAACAACCGATGCTCAGGGCCACCTAATGTTCTTTCTGAACACACTATATTGTAGCTAGAAACTAAAGGACTCGACGGCATGCGCATCCTGTGGATCAACGTATACTTCAAAATTGCTACATTACCTATAAGATGTATCTACAGAGCAACTGGCACTTTGAGCGATTAAGAGACCCAACTCATTAATGCACTGGATGAAGTATCCACTCTTCCATACTAGCATAAGATCATACGAGCAAACTTCGACCTACTCGAAATCAACTGGTATTTATTATCAGGCCCAAAGTATTTGTTGTCCATACAACACATAACTGGGCTTTTGTTAATGCGAAGACAATATTTCTTGATGTGCTCCACTGAATGACTAGTTAGAAGATTGTTCCTACAAACTCATGACAAAATGGACACAAACCATGCAATACCACCATAAACCAAATTTATGTAATTTAAATAATACTTATCCATGTGTGTACGGCTGGCATTGATATATATCCTATTATAATGATAAAAATATAAATAAACTTCTATTTCTGGACTTTATGTGCCCGAATTTCCGTGAGGGTTTGCAGCCTCGAAGACGTTTTCTAGTCTTAACCACCATACATATATGACTAAAGCTGTAAACATTTCACCGTAAATTCAATGAAAGACCCTACAGACTGCTCATAAAAATCCATAGCTTAGATGCAGCCTGCCCGACAGTGTGCCGTAGATATAGTGCCATGACTTACGATGATGCTTAGATCTGTTTGAGCCAGAAATAGTATTCCCTCTGCGTTGTATGTCATGACACTTACCTGCCCGATACGCACAGTTGAAAGCTTCACTACGTTGATGAGGAGTATCCATTTGAACTAATCTAACATACTGTTAATATCACCCTGGGAAGTAAGCATTCAGTTGCTGTTCTTGAGCTGCCTCCAAGCTGTTAAGAAATGTTTTTGACCTTTACTTAAATTGATTTTAGGTAGCTTTGATGTGAGCTTCCAGATCTAGGATACAGTCCTTTCATGAAGTTGCAGATTGGCAACATTTGTATGGGTTATTCATATGCCTGCCTGAGTTGCATGAAATCCACGTCCTCACTGTGGGAGAAGACCAGTTCGAAAGCTAAACAGGAGTGCTGAAATTCATAATGCACTGAAAGACAGGCCTAAAATCAGTTAAATAGAAGATTCTATCGGCTTGCGGCCACAAGGATTGTATGAGAATGGTGTCTTGAGATATTTTCAACCAGCTTAAAGGGGCCTTAATAACACAGATTGTACGAAACGTTCATAAGCTAGATCCTTCTATGGTGTGGTCATCTGCCGCGCTATCGGGGCTGTGGTGTTTCACTGTCTTTTCCCTTGCATTTTAGTCTGTGATGTATAAGTTCTCATGTTCCACTCTTGAGCTCGGCAACAGCTTGGCTGTGTGAAGCTTGAGACTTTTTTTGTAGTAATCGATTATTCCTCTGCCTCTGTGGCATATTCAGCCTGTCCTCTGACGAGTTTTGTAGGTTTTGAAAGTCATTTTCACTGCCGTTCATTTCACGTGTTAGTCACGGTTGTGCGATAAAGACGCCATCCAGGTTTTCCGAGTCAACTGGACTATTCTACTCAGTTCACTTATTCAAGCTGTTTATTCAGTTAGATGACTTCGTGTTGCGCTCGGAGAGGTTTGGGGATCTTCAAACTCTCACCACTTAAGACTGTCAACAATGAAATTTCACTCCTCGATGCAATGTCACTCATTTAATCCCATTTTAGAGGACTGGTTTTTGACACAGTCACTTAGGCATAAGTTCTCGTGCGCGCAAATGCCAGACCCCTCACAACTAGGACCATTGCTCATAATATCGTCTTCTTCAGTTTTGGAGTTTACTGATAAGGTGCGATGACTTAACTGACTCAAAGTCAGACTATTGACCGATTCAGTAGCGTTAACTAAAATTTAGACTGATCAGAATTAATTATATTTGTCAGAGTTTGCATTCGAGCCAGGTCTTGAAGCCAGATTCCCTTGATCACACCAGTTTGTTTGAGGGATCAGGTTCTCTACAAAAATCAATATTTATCTGACTGTTGACACAATGTCCCGTCTCGCTACCACTTGGCGTGTTCCTTTTCTTTCGTTCTTTTCATTTTTTGTCTTCCTTTTCCATTTAACTCACAGGAAGTCTTCTTGTCTTATTCTAAACATATCCGGAAGGACAAGTATCCTGAGTATCACATAATCGCCTTCAAAAGGAGAAAGTGACAAACAGCTCACTGTTTTTACCAGAGGACAGTTCCAAAACTTCGGAAAATGAGCTCCAAGTAAGCAACAGGTTTCTACAGATGAGTGATGGAAATATTGGATATTGGAAGATTGAGGTGGAAATTTAAATATAACGCTATGCGAGGCTTAAAGAAGGACGAGTTCGAGAAGGTTGTCGCTAAGCTCCAGAAATAGTATGTTTGCAAACATAATCTTATTAAAATTGTAGTATTAAAGATGTTGACGAGTTGCTCAACAGAACAGACGATAAGTATGAATTTTACTTGCACAGGGACCGGGTGTTTTATTGTAGGTGAGTAAATAAAAATCTTGTGATGAATTTTAGATCATCACTTGCAAAACACGCAGCATCAATACAGAGGAAGCACCTGCTAAGCTTCGGTGTTTGCATAGGCCGCTTCTCGAAAACTAACAAGTTCAGGTTACACATTACTGCATTAGATTTCTTAGCGCCTTACGCTAAATATCGTGTGTGGTTGAAGGCATCAGCTGAACAACAGTTTCTCTACGGTCAGAATGTCGTACGTTCTGGACTGGCCAAAATGTCGGACAACACACCGCAATATTCTGGTGTGGTCGTCATGAATATGAGTGATATGCCTATAGTAATGCGTCTTCTCTTTACTAACTTTTTCTAGGGTTTTGGAGTTGCAGCAAAATCGTCTTTGCAAGTGAAGAATACGGATCCTATGACAATAGTTCTTTTCCACCAAGCTGATGCTGGGGAATATATAAGATCGGAGGAGACAATTGTGTAGACTATCTATTGCGGTTAAATTTCTCACATCTTGTACATAAAAAGTTTTATATAAGCACTGTACAGTTTGAAATATGTTGTATTCTTAGAGAACGGGTTTATTTCATGGTGTGCATAGGTTTCTGACACAAAAAAATTAAGTGTGGGCCATGCTCAGCAATCGATCGTTCTATGTGGACAAGTTATTTATTTTGGCACCTAGCGTATCCGAACTCCCACTCGGTGTTCTACTTGTGCATTGGTTATTATGTTTGGCCGACTGCCAATTTGACTGTTGTTTCTAATGTAGTCTATAAAATTAAATTAGTGGGGTCTATTATCATTCTCTTGGGTTCCGAGCAGAACATAGGGGGATAGGTTCTTAATTGGTTTGTTCCCAGATCACCTTGCCGCCCATGCTTTCTCTCAGTATGAAGAGAAGGCAGTTGTTGATAAAGATCCGTATGCTATTAGGAAGTTGTCTGTTTTATTGCAAAGAGAAGTCGGCGATATTCTGCGAGTCTGTTCTAATAAACCAGCCGTTGGCAAAAGTAGCTTGGACTCGGTCGAGAACATTGTAGCTTGTCATCTCCTTTATTCGTAGGACTCCAGAATTTAGTCCTTAGATATTCTTTAGTTAAAATGAAATCACCCATAGCAGTTTCAGTGGTTTTATTAGGTACACGGCCTCCAAAGCCTCAGGATGGTCGGGGGTGGGTGCCTTGCGCTGCGGGTTGGCCACCCCTCCACACACCTCTTGAAGTGCTCCCATATGACCGGGCGTCTTACATAGCCTATCCTGAGGAAGTCCTACTCATTGCCTTCACGTGGCGGAGGTGTTTTTCACCAAAGTGAGAGGGTGAAAGCGGACGCCCGGCGCTCTTCACCGGGTTGACTGTCCATTGGATGACAGTCTAGGGGAGATGGCTAAACCCTGATTCCAAACCTCCAACAATTGGCGTGTGAAGCTCACTGGAGCTCACCGGCAGACGTATGGACAAAGGGCTTGTTGGATGTCCTGGATGTCTGGCCCCATTCAAAAAGGCGTATGAACCGAACTCCGGTCACTGGCTGCCAATGGATAGTGGACTCCCTACTCCACTCCTACTGCCTTGTAGATCACACTTGGTTGTGTAAAGGCTAGAGCTGCACTCTCAAACAAAAGGCCGAGCGATTCTGGGGACATCACTCGTACCAAATTCCCATGAAACCTCATGAACTCTCTCCAACAACGTCGCCTTCGGTGGTTTGGCCATGTTCTGCGCCAACCAGATGACGATCTGGTCAAATCGGTTCTAAGTCCCTCGCCATTACCATCTTGGCGATGTCGCAGAGGTGGACAGCTGAAAACATGGCTTGGTACAGTCAAGGCTGATATGGAGTGCCTGGGGCTACAAACCGTCTGCGGACTCCGTCTGTGGAACAAGAATTGGATAACCCTGTCGCAAAACCTTGCATCAGATCGCCGCGCCTGGGCAGCGATGATTCGAGATGTTCATGAAGCCGGCTCATCCTCCCGTAGGAGATAGCCGAAGTAAACAAACAAACATTAAGTACACGAAGGTCTTTACCTTAGTTTAACAGAGTAGGTCAAAAAATGTTATAATTCACTGCATTTTGGACGACTGGGGCAGTTTGCTAATAGACTGGAACCACATTTAGGGTATTAAATTCCGTGTTGCTTTTGTTATGCATGTCCTGTAGGTAACATACTGTAACGAAAAAAGGCAAGAGTCAGGCAACAGATCATTTATTAAGGAAATCAACGCATATTTATATATTTTCATGTACATCACTAAGGATATTTAAGCAAACAAACACAGTCTTCCGATTGGTTGTTTCTCACGTAAAGTTAATCTTTCATCTATTTGTGACTGTTTCTTGAATGTCAAATCCTCTATATGTTAACTGCATCCGCCTACGCAAAGTCTGTTGTGGTCGGTTTTGAATCAATCTTTGTTCACATTTTCTCACGACAAATCTTGGGAACGTAAATATTGACGTAAATTACTGTCTACCAATTTGGCTAGTAGACAGCTCTCACCACAATACTACTTCTCTCTACATTTTGCTGTGTGTCAACAAGTATTGTATTTGCAACAGATCTGCTGTGTACGTGTGTTTGGTGGGTAACCTTGTCCTGTCCAAATGGTCCTAAAAGATTCACTGCTTTTGTTTTATACTCATATATATATATATATATATATATATATATATATATATACAGATCGGTTGTCGTCAAAACTAGTTGCTAAGCTCACTTTCTTTTCGCTTCACCACATATAATGAACTGCCGGAAGTAAACTGTCTATCTATAGTTCTCTTCCAACTTGCAACGAAGAATATCTATTTTTTTGGCATAACCAGCGTGTGTGTTACGTATGCCTAGTCATCGCCTTCCTCGACGGTCAATATTAGCTGATACAGGGTCAGGCTGGAAAAGAGCTAGCGGCGGTCAAACGAAAACATGGCAGCAGTCAATGAAATCCACAACAGTTAGTCTAAGCCACGTAGGAAGATGTAGACTTCCTGGTTGGGGTCCTCGGGACGGTAAAAACCAATGGCGGCTGGAGACAATTGGTGACATGGCTCAAAATCGTTTTCAGTGGCGCAGATGCATCCACTCCTTGTGACTTATGATTTCCAATGAAACTTTTTTGTTCTTCGTTGTTACTATTCTTTTGTCTCATATCTCTGTCTACTGTCTCTATTTTGCATTTCTTCTACTTTCTTCTCTTGCTTTGTGTGCTACATGCAGGGAGTGTGGCGACTTGAACTGGCGCACATATGTGCAAAGTTCTATGTCGAATACAGACAGACAGACATGACCAGCGTTAATTAGCAACACTTTATTGGATAACTCTGTTAAATGAGTACTTACTATTTCCTCGCTTGTTCACAGAAACTAATTGATAGTCAACTTCAGTCTAGTGATATTATAATTATTTTTCAGTTTTCTGGTTAAATATTGTGAAACTAAGGCGAAAACGATTTATAGACTTCGTCTCTTTTGTGGTATTTTGTTCTCTGAAAAATTGTTTTCGACTTGATTGTATTCCTAAGCACTCATGTGTACTGGCTCTTAGTTTTATAAATGATATGTTTCTAGATGTAGTTTTCTTTTATTTTGAATTTAGCAGCCCATAACAATTTTCAATGTCTTAAGCTTTGGGGTTACTTTCCTAACATTTGAAGGTACTTCGAGAAAATGTTTTTTTGTCCTAGTTGGTTTTAACTTGGTGTACGTGTATGAAAATTTGAATTAATGGGGGGGGGGGCATCGTCAAATGTAATTAATTCATGCAGCTCAGACAGGCCTATCGATAGCCTATGTAAATGTTGTCTATCTGCATCTGAGGTGAATAGATATGTGTAAAACTTGGGCACTGTGGTAGTAAGTAATTCCATATTAGTTCGTTTATTAGATATATCACACAGTGGAGTGACAGTATTATTTACTGGATGAAGTTTCGAACAAATTTATTGTTCATAATCATTTCATCAATTGTAATCACATGACTTTGAAACTTGAGTTTTACAATTCTCTTTGTTCTCTCCTATTTGTCATAGGGATAATAGTAGAACTTTCTAGATGTCCACTATAGGTGTTGAATCATTCCTATTACATGCATTCTCTTCAGTTGATTCGATAAATAAGGCCTCCGTTATCAATCTCTCCCTCTACCTTGTCGCATTAGACTTTACAACTGTCATTCTACCCCATCCTATTGTAAGTTTGTGTGTAATTGCATGTGGTGTAGTGCTATGGCTGAACTATTCTCCAGATTTCTTATCTTACTCAGGTCAACTAATGTAGATTTCGCTGATAGGATTTTGTGCTCCGCTAGTCTGACTGCACGTGTTCTACTACTTTGACCTATGTATTTGACCTGACAATCATTGCAGGGTATCAGATAAATTTAGTTTAGAATTGGAGTAAAGCTGGCAAAGGGGAGAAAGATCAAATAACTTAAGGGTAGTGATGATGAATTATTGACATGAGTCACTACAGAATTACTCGACTCTTAGGAATCTGATATGGTCTGATCAGAAACTTGGTGAATTTACTCGCCTTTATGAATTTGAATAAGGCAAGAACAACGGTTTGTGCAGAATAACACAGTACTATAATTTCGTTGACTTCTCATCAAGGAATTATTATGTTCATGTGCAGAAACAAATTTTTCACATACCTGCAAATCTTACATTACGTCAGTTGACAGGGGACTCCAAATTTAATTAAATATTAATCGGAAAATTTCACTTAAACAAAGAAAGTTCAAGTCTGAACAAAAGTGAATGCTTAGATACAATGGCAAAAGACAAGACGATGTATTAGTTACTCATCATCTTACTCACCTCTTGCCTTTGTTACGTAACTCCTTTACCATTGTACACGAACATTTATTATTATTGTTTCCTTTAATTCCTAGAGGAACATAGGGCTTCAACCATGCGTCTCCATTGCGTTCGGTTCTCTACTAGAGTTTTCACCTGGCTCCAAGTCTGCCCACACGTTTTCATCTCCTCTTCACATGACCTCCTCCAAGTCACCCACTCTTGCACTGACGACCAACTCGCCGCTTCCCTTTCGGGTTCCACTCGAGCAATGGCTTGTCTAGTGATGTCACTCACTTGATGGTTTCCTCAGAGTATGGCTAGCCAATCAATCTCCATTGCTTCTTGCCTATTTGTTTCATTGCCAGAGATCTCTGTTGCTGATGTTTTCTGGCCGGCCATCTGATCTTGAGTATTGAGCGAAGACAACTGGCTGTTGATGAAGGTCTGTAGTTTGTTTGTGATGCTCTTTGTGACGCGCAGTGCAAGTCTCTGATCTGTATAGTAAGTAGCACTGGCTGACTTCACATTGGAGTTGAAAATCCGGATCTTATTTTTGATGCTGAGTACTGTTGACCTCCACACAGACTTGAGAGTAGTGAAAGCTTGTCTTGCTTTTCCGATTCTTGCTTTGATATCCTCGTCAGTTCCGTTGGCCTGTAGTTGAAACCATGCTTTCCAGTTAGGTAAGTAAAGGAGGTTGTTTCTTTCAGGTTCCTCCCATTTATGCTGATCGTTTTTTTTGTTTTTATCTAAACTTGAACTGTCTGTGTATAGGCT